ATAGGTATATTTATTGAAAAAACATTCTAAAAATGGAAAGGGAGAAATGTATTGGAGAACATCCCAAAATGGAAAGAGAGACACGTGTTAGAGAACGGAGGGAGTACTTGAGTACTTGTCCCAGAAAAAGGACATGCCCTTCCAAGGCTGAGAATAAGGTTCTACAGAAAAACATTGAGTATGTTCATCCATACATATTCATTAACACGTTGTTTCCTTCGTTTGAGTCTTTGAGATGATCCAATACATTTTCAGTTGTCACAAACTCATATGCAGTGGATAATACACATCAAATTGTGTAATAAGGATTTACTTGGACTGAAATTTGGTGGTCTGGTTTGTTTAAATTTGGTCAGTGAAATGTCTAGTCTCTATGTATTTTATTACTATGAAAGTTTGGTCCGGTCTGATCTGTTTAAGTCTGGTCTGATCTGTTTAAGTCTAATCTGGTTTGGGAATGAAAATAGTTCAATTAAAAACATCCCAATGATGGTACGCCCCTAAATCAAGACCAAAATCGCGAGGGAATGCTCAAGGTATTCTAGCCCTCAAATTCAATGGATGTAGAGCAATTACAGAGTACTGAAAATAAAGTTAGGTCTAACTCATATGTATTTGCAGTGTGATAAAGCCAGTAAATTGCTACCAAAGGGTGATAAAAAAAAAGGAATTGCTTAGAGCCTATTTTGCACTAGCTAAGTTACATTCTCAAATAGTGAATTGCGGATAATCTAAAGCGTAAGTAAACAACAAATTACAAAAATATGCAGGAAAGAAATGAAATCATTTTACCGTCGTACGTTCTTCCAGATAGGTCTGCAATCAATTAAATTCAAAAAAAACACATAAGACCATAATCAGAAGATAACCAATAAAACAAACGCTTGGTAAAACTAAACAGAAATTATTAGAACATAGCCAGACGAAATTTTACCATGGCTTTGTTCTGTGCACGAGGATCGACGGTGATATTTTCTGTCGGGCGTCAGGCTTGTTATGGAAATTGCGGCTTTACTAGGCTTTCTAAATTGCAGCTAATAGTCTCGTATGAAAGAGAGGAATGGCGGGCGGTTCTTCTGCTGATATTGGGATTTGATAAGCCCCCGATCCAGAGATTTATGAGATCAGTGCACACTATATACTAAATTAAGACAATAGCATAAATTATACGGAATAGTTAATTACATATTACCTCCGTCCCACTCAACTTTGCCAAGTTGATGTTAGGTGGGAAATTAAAATAGTAAAAATTGTGTGGTTGAGATTTGTGTAGAGAAGATAGAAATGAACAGAGCCACAAATTCATTGCTTTTAAGGGAAAGTGACAAAGTTTTTTGGGACAAACAAGAAGAGAAAGTTGTCAAAGTCCAGTGGGACGGAGGAAGTATTAAATAGTTCATTTCTGCAACTTTGGTAAATCAAACCTACGAGTTTTCATATTCTGAAAATGTTGTATATTAGTTTCATTATCAATACTCCTAAAAACATCTCTCTCGATATAGCACACCAAGCAATCAGTAAGATAATCATCTTTCATCTTATTACGAAGATCTGTCCTGATAATATTCATCGCAGAGAAGGCTCTTTCAACGATGGTTGTTACAACTGGTAATACTAAAGCCAACTCAATCAGCCGATATACCAAATGAAAAGAATTGTGAACTTTAAGTTCAACCATCTTTTTGCAAACTTCACCAATAGTCTGCACGGCAGAAAATAATTCATTTGTTCTCATTTCATATATCCACACACCTGGAGTTGCTCTTTCAGCTCCATTCGATCAACAGATGAAAAATCGTATGAATATAATTCCACAAGGTTCAGTAGATTTGACTCACAGAAATTGGAGAACTTATCTCTAGGATCAAGACATGTTAAACCAGTGAGTAATTATGTGTTTGACTCACTAAAACAGCTCTCCAAACTTCTTGAAATGTTTTGCTTTTGATTCTTGAAATTAAAAAAACGTGTTCTGGAATCATTGTGTGCACCATTTACAACTTTTACATGGTCTCTAAATGTTTCAAGACTTTTTTTCCAATTACGAAACCCGGTCCTCACAAATACATCATCTCCAAATCTCTTCCCTTCTACCCCATGGAATAGGTAACACGAAAAGCAAAATGTAGCATCTTTAGAAATACTATATTCCAACCATTCCCAATTTTTAAACCACTCTCCTCGAAAACATCTCATTTTTTCCCAAATAAAGTTCGTGGAAAATCATGAGACAACGGTTGACAAGCACCTTTACCGACATAAGCTCTCATCACGTCATCTCTTACTCGAGGCGCATGTTCAATGATTGGCTTTCATAATGCGGGATCGCTAATGATATCCCACTCACACGTACTATCTGTGTGGGCTCTTTTGTCTCCCCTAGTGTCATTAGACTCATCTCGAACAATGCTTACATTCGGAGCAACAACATTTGCATCGCTTGAGATAGACTGATTACAACGTTAGAAGAACTACCCCCTCGGGTTAATGACCTCTTAGTCCGAATTACAAAGTTATCCAAACTCATGTTTCTAATAAAAAAGACAAATACAATCAAGTCTAAAAATTAAACTAAAAATCTTACAAATTAGAACCCTAATCCTTAAGTAGAGCACATTCACAATCTCCAAAGTATCAAATTTCAAGTAAACAAACAATCCCCAAATTAGCAAATAACAATTTAGTATATAACCGTAACATTTTAGTATCTTGATTATCTAATACTAGTAACTTTTTGTACGGGTTGGGGCACTAATTTTACCCGAAGTAGTAGTAGTGAAATTTTTGGCCGGAAGCAGGGGCACCCACCTATTTTACCCTAAATACTAGTAGTGAAATTCCTGGCCGGAAGCCGAGGCACTTGCCTCGGTAGGTCCCGCCCTAGTAACTCATTTGATGATCATTAAAATAGCTTTTGGACCGGGTCATGCTCTCATTAGTCCTTGGTCTAAATTTTACTCAGTACAATCTTGCAATATACAAACGGAAGTTGAACTTCACCCACTTTTCTCACCCATTTTATCGGGTTAAAAACGGATCTTTTTTTTTAACAAAAATGGTTTAACTTATGATAACTTATGAAAGTAGATTACAAAGTTACAACAAGACTTTTTCTACCGTCTGCTTTAGGACCAGACTTTGGATTAATTACCTTCGTAGAAGCAATATAATTCATAGATCTCGCTTTGGGCTTACCTGAGTCAATGATTTGCAGACTAGACTTCCCGTCCCCTGGCTTAAGTTCTACAGACTGGAAAAACACAGCGCAACCAAACAAAGTACGAATCCAAAATGTGGAAAATAAAAAACAAAGTGCAAGCAAAATAAAAGTGTCTCTCACCTAACATAGTCCTCATCAATCTCAGTCACACTAGCGGGTCAGGGGCCTAGCATCTGCCCCTATCCCGGTTTTTGGGGAATCAAGAGCCATAACTTCCTTCACTTCGTCACCCTATGCATGTTCCTTCCAAGTGCGTCTTCTCTTTAACTTTCTCGTTCCTCCTTCCGCCTTAGCCTTTCCTGGATTGGTAGGAGTCACCATCCTACTCTGAGTGTTCTCCCCTATATCTTCTGGATTCTACTCCTGAATCGCCATATCCATGCGGGTCTTATGATAAGAGTTTGGGTCAGAGTGATTTGGGTCCACATTAATTGAAGGAATTGCTTTTTGTTCAAATTTTTCCGAATTTCGATGTAATCAGATCTGTGAGAGATTACCATTAAATAAAATAGGGAAAACTGTCAAATAGATCTCTGTACTTTTACAAAAAAGTCAATCAAATCCTTGTACTTATATGTGAATCAATTAATGTTAATTACTTTTTTATTAATACTTCTTCAATTCATTTTAACTGTTATATATCCTTGATATGTTAACTTTAATTTGTATCATCAAGGTGATCGATCGATAAAGGTTGTCAATATTGTTTTGTTCAAATAATATAATTGTATTGACACTATATTGTGTTGCTAATCATGACAGTGTGAAATTAATAGAAAATGTCATGCTGTTAAGAACAATGTCATTTTTTTATTATTAATAGTGACAATGTGAAACATGTTTTTCAATAAAACAATGTCCTTTTATACTATTGTCATTGAATTCAACACTTATCATTTCTATAACATTGTCATTGTTATGACAATCAATGACATTGGTATTGACATTGTCATTAATACAACGTCATTTTTTGTAATATTGACATTGTCATTATCAATATTACAATGTCATATTTTTTTAGCATTGACATGCATTGTCATTTTCATGACATTGAGATAATTTTATGACATTTTGACAGTTTCTAACATTGTAAATATTTACAATGATACAATATTGTTACATATATATCAATGTCATCATTGAAAACAATGACACTTCTTGACAATGTCACAATGTCATTTCTATAACATTGAAATTGACATTGTCATTATTACAATGTCATTTCTATAGCATTGAAAATGACATTGTCATTATTACAATCTCATTTTTTAAATCATTGACATTGTCATTTTTATAATGTCATTTTTAAAAGCGTTGGTGTTGACATTGTCATTGTCATTACTTGGCATTCTTACATTTTTCCTTATATTTTAATACAATGTCCACAATGTGATTTTCTATAAAAGCAATAGTTATAACATTGGGATTTTTCATACGGATTTTTTTATTAGAATGTGGTTTTTTATAACATTGAAATATGATTATCACTATAATTATTACAATGTCATCACTATTTTTTAACATCCGACATTGTGTAACACTTTCCAGACATTGTAATACACTTTAACAATTGTTTTTGTGATCATTGTGCCATTTTTCATTAATTTACTCACAAAAAGATGTTTGTTATGCCAATTGCTATTGCGGCCATTGCCGGCCAATACATATGAGCCGTTTACCTTATTTAAACAGAGTATGCTTTACCTTGATTTGCAAAAAGTGTATGTTATTAAATTATCATATCATATTGAGACCCCATCAATTTTAATTTATCAATGTGGCGGCGCATGGATCATAAAATTAATAACTAAAACTAACGTATTGCACCATGCATAATGGAACTTTAGAAATCAAAACGAATAAAATTGTTAGAAGAATCAAACAAATTATGTCTGAGAAAACACTTCCTGTGTGGAAGCCTCTACTTGCAACGGCACAAACTGCTTTGGAATGGAATGGCGCATATGTAGCAGCAACATATCTTCAAACGATGGGGCTATTTTTGTCTCTTTAATTTAAAAAAGTTCTATCCACGAGTAAAAAAGTTCGAAGTCTTGTTTACTTCCGCTTCCCATGTTTTAGTCGTATGTGTGTCTTTCTCCCTTTTTCTTTCTCTCTTTCTCCTTCACCCAATCTCCCGTTCTTTTCTTCTCCCTACTCGCCCCAAATGATTTCTTTTGCAGTTTATGTCTTCCAACTCTCATTCTTCTGAAAGGCTGTGGGAGAAGGAGGTTGACAAAACTGAGGGCGTCAGGCGGCGGACGACGGGAGCTGGGGAAGTTCTGGGAGAGAGGCGGTGCACGGCGGCAGTTGGCCGGTTGGGGCAGTTGCGGGCGACGGGCAGAAATGGTTGGGGAATTTGTGGACGACGGCTGGTTGGAGACGCATATTGGATCGGAGTAGTTGTTGACGAAGGGCGGTCAGCGACGCAGATGGGATCCGAAGTAGTTGTGGACGACGGGCGGCGGAGCCTAGAGAAGCTGTGAGCGGTGGGCGGCGAAGCCTGGGAAAGCTGTGGCGGCGGGACAGCAGATGGAGATGTAATGGGTGAAGGGTGGTGCACAATGAAAACCGGGGAACTTGTGGGCTACAATTGACTGGTATGGAAAGATAGAGAATAAATAGCAGGGAAGCAGATCTGAAGAAGAACCAAAGAAGATAGGAGGGAAAGAAGAAAGAGAGAGAGTGAAAAGGAAAAAATAAAAATGTTGACACGTGGACATTCAGGACAACTATAACCGACATTATATGTGTGAAACCGGCTAAATGACTAATTTGACCCAATTTTAACACTTACGGGACTTGATTGATTAGCTTTTTTGTAAAAGTATAAGGACTAATTGACAATTTTCTCAACAAAATACATTTTCCAACCAACAAATTTCGATTTCCACCTTCACTAAAATAGCCTTTGTGGTCGAAATGCATTAAATGTATAAGATGTGTTCAACTAAAAGCTTTTTTGATGATATACTAGCAATAGATAAGATGTGTTCACTATGATATTTCATACTCATTGCAAACAAAACTAACACTACAATTTGCTATCCTCGTAAATAGTGTCTCAATCTATACTCTTCCAAGCCACAATACACCATGGCCACGATTAAAATTCATTGAGAAAAGATTTCTCAATGTGATGAAATTTGTTTTTTTTTTCTTAAACTTTACACACATTGAGAAAAGATTTCTCTAACAATACGAAAAAACTTTTTTTGGACAATTCTTTCTAACCTATATAGTATCTGTTCAAAATATGAAAAAACTTTTAAAAAGGACAATTGATGTCTTGTAATGATCTCTTTATGTAGTTTGATATGTTACTCCGTATTAGTTATAAGTAATGCTAAAAGATAATTATGGTTTCACCACTAATAAGACATCTATTCTAAATTAGATTTTGCTTGGATAGATGCATATTGGATTACAAATTTGCCTTAGAATTTCATTTTAACTTTTTCACAATTATTTTATTTAGAAGAAACTTTTTTACAATTATCTTTTCTAGCTTACTTTCATTTGAGCCCTACTTAACATTCTCTTCATCCCGCAAAAAGAAATCATCTGTACGTATTTATAATCCATATTGCACAGAGCTTTATTTTGACTTTTTTTAGGGATTCATCATTCAAATCCAAAAAATTATTAAAGGATGATTCTGATGACATGGTCCATTATTTTGAGAGCATGGTTGACTGAGGAAGTGAGGAGATTATTTCGCATGATAATTTGGATAGAACGATTTATAATTAAAATATGAATCATTTTAATTATTTTAGATTAATTATAAATTAGAGTTAATTATTTAATGGTGAACTCACATTGTTCTGAGCGAGTATATCGTACACCCGGGTGTACGTACATCCAGTATTTTGTTGATAGGCTGAGGTGCTGGATCTACTCCCTTTTAATTTTCGGTCAAGGCTCCACTCCTACGCTCGAGCTACTTCCTTACTTCGCACGTTCCTTTTATTTTTCTTTTCACTTCGTACGTTCCTTTTTCTTTTTCTTTTCATTTGTTTATTCTTTTTTGTTTTTTGTTTGTTCTCATTTCTTTTTTGTTTTTTGTTTTTTTAGAAACCTTCTACTTTAATATTATATTCAATTAATATATAAAATAAAATACTATTAAATGTTTCAGTTTATTTTTTAGATTCATGTAGGAGTTGGTTATGGATATTGGAGTACAAACCATAATACTCAATTGCATGTTTTCAATACTCAATATAGAAGGTTTGATGCTCAATAAAAATATCTTGAAGTCCAACTTAAAAAATTATGATTTTCATATCAATACTCATTTTGTAAGTTACATTTGTTCAATTTGCACTCATATTATGCTCATTTTTAAAATCTCATACTCATGAAACTTTTAAAAGTTGCATATGGCATTAGATTCACATTGTTAAGTTCCTAATACTCAACCAAATAAGCATGATACTCATCGAAAGCGTTTCAATGCTCATCTGGTACTAATCTTATGTTCATTTTCTAAATGTCATATCAATGCATTTGCTTTAAAGTACTATTTTACATTAGATTCACAAACCTCGCGCTTTTCATATCAATGTGCACTTTGTAAGTTATGTATGTTCATTTGGTACTGATGATATGCTCATTTTTAAAATGTCATACTAATGCATATTTCAAAAGTATCACATTAGCAAATTAAACTTACCAAATGTGCATTGATATGAAAATTACCAGGTTTGTTAGTTGAGTATCACATCACTTTCATTGAGCATCAAACCTCATCTCTTGAGATGAAAATCACAGTTTCTGTTAAATGAGCAATAACGAACTTTTAATGAGCATCAGACTTATTATGTTGAGTATCATGAGTCTAATATTCAGAATCATGGTCTCTGTTTCATAACTTCTAATTCACTTTTTTTTGTTATTTTCTCTTTTATAGAAACTTGTTAAATGTTATAAATCTGATGATGGCCCACAAAAAAAGGCCCAATTAATTAAGAAAGACAATCCATTTAACTGATACAGTATAGTTTTTTACGGTGGCATTTTTGTGATTTAAGCGAAAAATCACGGCTATCGCTAAATGAGCAATAATGTACTCTTAGTGAGCATCTGACCTATTTTATTGAGTATTAGGAGGCTAATAATGAGTATCACGATCTCTGCTTCATATCTTCTAATTCTTTTTTTTCTTTTATAAAAAATTATTAAATTACATCTATAATTCACTCCTATTAATCTCAACATGCGGGTCTAACGTAATATGATACTTTTGAAATATGCATTGATATGCCATTTTAAAAATGAGCATAATATCAGTACCAAATGAGCATACAGAACTTACAAAATGAGCATTAATGAATTTGGTAGTTACTCTGTTAGTTGAACATCGCGACATTTTCATTGACCATCAAACCTCTACTATTAAGATGAAAATCACGATTTCTTGTGAATGAGCATTAATGAACTTTTAAAGAGTAACGTACCTATTATGTACCAGATGAGCATACGTAACTTACAAAATGAGCATTAATGAATTTGTTAATTGAACATCACGACATTTCAATTGAGCATCAAACCTCCTCTATTGAGATCGATGAAAATTATGATATATTTTAAATGAGCATTAATGAATTGTTAATGAGCATCAGACCTATACAAATGTAACTTACAAGATGAGCATTGATATGAAAATTGTAAGTTTTGTTTGTTGAACGTCAAGACATTTTCAATGAGCATCAAACTTCCGTTATTGAGTATTAGAATCTGCAATTAAGTATCAATCATGATTTGTGGTCTCGTGTCTATAATGAACTCCTATATAAATCTAATGTAATATGCGACTTTTAAAATATACATTGCTAAAAAACTTTAAAAATGAGCATAACAGAGATACTAAATGAACATACATAACTTACAAAATGAGTATCCAAAAATTCAAAAACTCATTTGTGTATGTTCATTTTTTTTAGGCATTTTACTCATTTGAGTATAAAGTAAAACTCACTTCTAATGTATTCAGTATTAATTAATATATAAAGAAAAGGAAGTAAACAACAAATCAGAAAAGAACTTAAAAAAAACAAATCAGAAAAGAAGTAAAGAAAAGGACGTTAACAACAAATCAGAAAAGAACTTAAAAAAACAAATCAGAAAAGAAGTAAAGAAAAGGAAGTAAACAACAAATCAGAAAATAAGTAAAGAAAATGACAAAACAAAAGGAAGTCAAACCAACCAGCTACCAATAAAAGTAAAGAAAAAATTAAAAATAAAAAAGACAAAACTAAAAAGTAACAATCAGGATGACAACGAAAAAGGAAAGAAGAGTATGGCGGCAAAAGAAAAGGAGATGACGGCTGAAGAGAAAAGAAAAGAGAATGGAACGAAGATCCAGCGAGAAAAGGGAAAAGAGGAAGACGGCGGAAGAGGAAAGAGGATGGAACGAAGATCCAACAAGAAGGAAGATGAGAGAGCAAAGGCTTAAAGTTGCTAACAATTACAAAATAAATTTGCTACACGTACATCCGGATGTAGCATATAATTTGCGCATTGTTCTTGTTGAAGGTCATTTTATGTCCTGCTTTAGGAATTAGGACAGCTTCATAACACCAAAAAACCGCGAACTGTGCTAAACCGCGATAACAGATCCAGGAAGCAGTGATGTACTGAATTGTGAATTGAGTTAGTTGGTCACTTGGTCCTCCCCCATTCTCATCTTCTACATTGACTCTTTAACTGCAGCAGAGACGCCGATTGTATTGCACAGTAAGTGCTTCGGAAGTACTGCGGAGCGGATCGATCGGATAGGAGTACTTTGTGGCAGAAGAAAATGGAGAAGATGAACCAGACGCTGGAGAAGATGAAGATGCTCGTAGGAATGGATGTGGAAGACGTCGAAGGAACCGCTAATCAGCAGCAAGAGTCCTCGTTTGCTTTCATTGAGGACTTCAATCGCAACTGTACTCTCTCCACCAAGCAGGTCGGTAGCTCTTAATGCTATTCCGTTTTTATTAGTACTCTCATTACCTTCTGAATTCGGTACTACTTTTGTGATTGTGATGTCGAATAGGCCCCAACTAATTGCTTGAAAGAGATGCTAGTTCAGAGTGAAATGTAGATTATCCAGCTGTTAGATTTGGATAACCGCTATACTAGTATGTTGTATTAGTTAACGAATCAGGCCTTGAAGAACTCTATGTTGAAACTGTACCATGTTGAAGCACCAAATTTACAGTTATAGTATTGTTGTTGACTTGTTGCTCTTGTATCTACAAGAGAGAATATGTGTGGTACATTTTCAAATCATAGTTGGTGCATTGAACACATGCTAGTTGGTAACATCAGAACTATAGTTCTGAGTATCAATAACATTAGAAGCCATATTAAATATGATCTAAATAAGTCATTGGGAATGAATAACTGATTGAGTAAAATGCATAAGAAAATACTAGATATACAAGGAATAAGATTTGAATCCTAAATGCTAGTAAAAATGTACTGTTTTTCTACTAACACAGGTTTCTGAGGTTGTTTAACAGCTAATATTATAAGGCATTAAACAATTGTATTGATCTATAGAAAATGTCTTATACTTGGATTTCATAATCCATTTCATTTTAATTCATTTTCTTTTTGCAGAGGCTTTATGGTTTTGCCATCTGCTTGGCTTCTGGTGTTGCTTGTACACTTTTGGTGAGTTTCTGTCTTTAGATATTCTTAGTTTCTTCCTCATTGTTGATACTAGCCTTGCTTAGTTTTATGTGCAAGTAGCTGGGTTAAATCTACATACCTTATATTATGTATGAAAGTATAAAACTATAAATTGTATAATGTGTTGTGTAGTTTAAGAGAAGGCAAAAGTTAATTCTTTTTGAAACCATATAATTCATAGATTGTGGAGATGAGCTTGGTTAGTGTCCACTTGTTACAGTTTTTAATTGGATGATGTAGAGTTCAAAATGAAGTACAACTATTTTTATGTTAGAAGTGTGAATACACTGCTGTGCAGAAATGCATCTATGTATGTGTAGCAAGGGAATGAGAGAAGAGAAATGCATTATAGAATTAAAGAATTTAGATGGCTCATTGGGCTCAGGAGCCCGCCTCCTGGAGCTCACAGGCTGTCTGGTTCAACTAAGCTCTTAAACTTTCTTTGATAAGTTCATTCCTCATTTCTCAAACTATTGAATACAATATTTTTTATGAGCAATCCATCATGATTTCTACTTTTTTTTTGTGGCAGTCCATGTTGGTGTTTCTCCATCCAGTAAAATTTGGAATAACTTTCTCCTTTGGCAATCTGCTTGCACTTGGAAGGTCTGAATATTATACTTTCTTCCTGCATGGCTTTGATATACGGTCATACGGAGTAGTTTACACATGGTTATCTAAGCTCTCTCTGTAATATAAAGTTGAGATATGTAACTGATTCAAATTTTCAGTAACATGAAAATGCTCACCATCATTTGCTGGTTGGTTAGTGATTTTCCCAGAACAAACAAAAATGGTTGACATCCTACAAGACATATGGGATATATATGGATCACGGAAACAGTGAGGCAAGGAAAGAAAATGCTAAGGGGACTATTTTTTTATGTTGGTCTTTAACTCTAAGGATGCAAAGGAAAATAAAACCTGATTAATTTATTTAATCGAATTCATATATTTAGAGTTCTTAAGTATATATATATATATATATATATACACACACATACACATACTACGTATATATATATATATAATAGAGTTAAATAATTTAGTAAATAAACAAACAAACAAACAAATAAACAAATAAGAAGAGTTTAAATAATTATCTAAATTAAATCTATTGAGTTTGAGTCTACCCTTCAGTTTCTCTAAAATTTTATTTCCTGTACATTTTCCTCCATATTTATATCTACTAGTCTTTTCTGGGTTCTAAATGTACCCATATAGAGACTGCTCTTTGGCTTTGTTAGTAAACTATCCTTCAGAATAGAAGGTTTAGTGTGACTGACCGACCGGTTTGACACTCAAATCTATCTAGCTCCAAACATCTTTAAAGAAGTTTTTAAAACATAAGGCATTCAAAATTTATTTCTAGGTTATGTGGATACTGTTGTGTGAAAAGAACGATATTATTCAGCTGTAAAATTTTGGTTCTTTCTATGGCAGCACAGCGTTCCTCATAGGACCTAAAAGGCAGGTAACAATGATGCTGGACCCTATTCGTATCTATGCAACCTCCATATATCTTGCAAGCATCATCATTGCGTTATTCTGTGCTCTATATGTGAGTTCCATGGCTCCTTTCTCCATTACCGTTCTAATTCTCTTGTTAGCTGTTTCATGATGCTATTCGTGCACTGCATATCATTATCATTAAACATTAGGTGAGGAACAAGCTACTGACACTTTTGGCAATTATATTGGAGTTTGGAGCTCTTATCTGGTATATCAATATGCTCTCATCTCTCTCTCTCTCTCTCTCTCTCTCTCTCTCTCTCTCTCTCTCTCTCTCTCTCTCTCTCTCTCTCTCTCTCTCTCTCTCTCTCTCTCCCCCCCCCCTTTGACTGATTATCTTGCCCTCATTTATGACTTTGGGTTGGGAAGAAAAAATAGGGTAGTGGGCAGTTGTTGGGTGACTTGGATTGTGTGGAAGTGTGCAAAAGTATAACTGCATAAGCAAGCTTCATGTTTGTGATCACTCAAAATAAAATAAAATAAAATAAAATAAAATAAAATAAAATAAAATAACTCTGTTCTGTCTCACCAGTCACCAACAAAGGTGTGAGACCTAGAGTTAATTTTAATCCCATTTAGAGTGTTTTGAAGGGAGGGGGGACATGGTATTATATCACTGTTTTATTATTTTTGGCTCAAAATGACCTCTTATAAACCTAAAGTGCCATTTGGAAACCCCAATGTTTTCAAATACAAAAGCATATCTAGATAGTATCTAAAAAATGACACAGATTGTTTTCAAATTTCCTACTCCAACAGCCATCTAAAGTAATTGTGAATTCGAGAACCGTGTTATGTGTTAATGTGTTAAATGATACTTGCCTCTAGATTGCTTTAATAAATTTGCCCCAAAAACCATTTTATATTGTGGTAGCGGGGGATCTAATCATTTGCCTATGTATATATTTTGAGCAGGTATAGCTTGAGTTACATCCCATTTGCAAGGTCCATGGTCTCCAAAGTCATGGTTGCGTGCTTGGACACTGAATTCTAAGTTCTAACCACCTGAGGCTGAGGAGCGGGTGGAGTCATAGAGAAAGAGAGAGATCAAGTTTTGTCATTTGTGTATAGCAATTAGCAAGTAATAGAGTGAATGTTACATGTCAGGATTAGCTAACTGCGTTTGAAACTCAAATTTGCGTACTGGATATCATTTTGGCTGAACCTATTCCAGCCATTCAGGTGCGATGAAGCATAATAAGGTCTTCAAAATAAAACTTCGTGCAGCCTTGGGCATATTTTCAAACGCTAATTTCTTTGTTGGCCAATTTTTTTAATAACTTTTAAAGAATTCACCTTATTCAAGTATTTCCAATTTTCCATCAAGAATTCAAGATAATAGATGGTCACTATTTTTTCAAATCTGTAGATAGATGAGGCCTATTATTACACCATATAGGTGCCAAACTGGGATTGGGTCAATTATTTTTGATATTATCATAGCTCTCTGGTCCTCTGGATAGAGATCTATCAGTTCTGATTGAAAGCATTTTAATGATCCATATTTTGTTTTACTGCAGATTTGTTTTCCCATAATAAAAAAAGCTCCAAAAAACAGTACATGAAAATCATTATAATATAATATGTACATGAATGTTACAATTGAACCATGTTTTTCCAGCGTTTAAGATGCCCAAAATTTGAAAAACCATTCCTCTGTAAAAACACTTCTTTATGTGCAATTTTTGCGAGCGCTTCTATGTTCCTCATTCATCTTCCTACTCAGCGGTCTGTGATGTTGCCTGGTTATGTTGCCCGTGGGTCTCTGCAAAGACCTGACCATGATCTCTTACATCTCTGAATATGGAAAGAAATGAGTTGAGACTTTCAGAAGGGTGGCCCCCTAAAATCCACAACAGTAAGGAGCTAAATGAGTTCATGCCCCCTCCTCCGTTCTCAGGTTGGTGAGTTTGAAGAGAGCTTCCATTATTATCTGTTGATTCCACACTATCTCCTCTTCCCGTTGTTGTGGCAGTAGCATCAAGTCCTCTAGGATCTACTACTGGACCAGGGGGGTTCCTGGTTGGTGTGTTTAACCTAGTAATGTGCAGAGTTGATGCAAGGATTGTCGATGATGTTATGTGGAAGTCCGGATGCTGTTGAAAATGTGACCGTTGGTTTTGCATGTATCTCTGCAGTGCTGGAACCTTGTCACAAGTCAAGCCAGGGCAGTATATAAAAAATATCAGGAGTGCAAATCTAAAACTACGAAAGCATAATTATATTTTAGCTTACTATGTTTTTGGTCACTATAAAATATAGGTTAAAGGGTCAAATAGGCCCTCAAACTAACTTAAAAGTGCAATTCACCCTAATATAGGAGGCTATGTCCGGCCGTCGCCATTTGGGGCGATTCCCGGTGGAATTTTTTGATGAAATTTTTTGAACATCTTCTTCATTAAGTCTAGTTTACTCATACCAAATTTCAACTAAAAATTCAATCATGAAGGCAGTCAAATGAATTTTTGAAGATAACTTCTCAATTAAACAGAGCAGTACATTTCAGAAAACCATTTGACTGTCTTCCCGGTTGAATTTTTATCTAAAATTTGGTATAGGACCTATGGGTAAACTAGACTTGATGAAAAAGATGCTCAAAAAAAATCATCAAAAAATTCCACCGGGAACCGCCTCAAATGGCGACGGCCGGACAGAGCCTCCTATATAAGGGATGAATTGCACTTTTTAAGTTAGTTCGAGGGCGTATTTGACCCTTTAGCCTAAAATATAAATATAAGGTTCTTTGTTTAGGTCAATATAAAGTACTTTTTTGTTTTCCATATTTGACAAGATGAAATACTTACACAAGCCTTTTTACATATAAAGAATTTTTAGAAGCATAAAAGATAGTCATGGAGAGGACCTCACCTCAAAACGGTTCCAAAAGTATATGATTAGATGTTGCACAAATGAAGCAGTTGCAGAGAGTGCTAGATAAGAAAAGCCTGGAAAAAAGGTTGATTAAATATAATGAGTTGCTAAAAGTAGATATGGAAAAGCATAGGTACAAATGTTGATTGGAATAGTTCTTTTCCACCCTTACCATAAGTATAGGAAAAGAAGTAGATGTGGAAAACCAGAAAATAGAGCAAAAAAAAGCGAGGGAAGTATTTCATTGATATTGGTGTGCGGACACTGCAATAAATTAACAAAACAATTACATTAGAGAAAAACAATAACAAGCACATCAGAATTGTTGTTTGCAATAAAGTTTCCTGGCTCATTTTTAAAAAATAAACGTGGTGTTAGAAAGATATACTCCGTAAATTTTAATCAAGAACTCTGCACATTAATTAAAATAGAAAATGAAATATTGGACATAAAAAAATTTGTTCATTTATCCCAAATTTCCTTTTACCGGATAATCTAGACCACCTCTCCACAATGATTTCCGTTACTTATCTCCAACTTGATTATCTAACTTTACCTCCCACACTTCAATTGCCCAGTAGTCCATAATCTATGTTATACAATTTAAACACATTGAAAGATGTCTTTGACATATACTTTGAGAGAGAATGAGATAAACCTGATTAGTGTAAAGAGTTCACATAACCAAACAAGAATCAAGACCATGAAAGCCAGCAGCTGATCATCATAAAACTCAAACAGGAAGAACAGGATGCCAATCATTATCTGCAATTCAGATATGAAAATTTCAGCACTTGTACAGAAAAAAGTAAACACATTAATTAAGAGAACAAGGTAGGGTGCTTACAGGCACAAAAACAAGGGATTCGATCACATGGACAAATATTAACTGAAAAGTTGGAAGCCTATGCCGAGCATGATGTTGGAGCTGAACTGAAACAATGTTTGTCAGGGAGACAATGAATAAGAAAAGGGATAGGCATTATATGTGGTGGCTCAAAGAAGATGTGCAAAAAATACTGGTAATTAGAATTTACTCTCCAGCAACCAATACGACATAACACATAAAGTGAGCGTCTGACTCCAGGAATGTCAGTTTAAATTAGATAATAATTTATCTCCTGAAGCACTACCAGTTATTATGTCCATATTTGTTTTGATGGAAATTGTTTTATCCTTAACAATGCACTTTAAATGATTAAGTATACTTTGTAGTGTCATTACTGCCATAGAGTTTCTCCTTGCTGCCAAAGATTAAAAGGCACAATAATAGTGACCAGCACAAAGAAGATGAGATGAGAAAGCAAGAAGAGAATAGGGGAAGAAAAAGAAATGAGTAAGGAGAGAGTAGAGGAAGAAGAAGAACCAAGTAAAAGAAGCATATTTTATTGTTTCACACCTCTAATATCATTGGAATTGCTATTATAAGGCTCTTCAACACAAATGGGATCAATGAAGGGTGTCGTACTTCCAAACCCTAGTTTTGTAAATTTGGTAGATACTAAAAAAGTAAAAATTGACAGTGTTTTCAAATTAAACCTTTCTACTGTTTTTATTTTAAAATATTTCAAATTGGATTCCAACCAATCAAATATAAACCTAGTAGCTTGGTTCTGTAAATGCTTCTCACTGGGTGGCCTACTTAGCGCAGTCTAAGGCAAGTACCGAGCTTAAATCAGCAAACAAGGTGATGTAAGATTAGTTGAAGCGGATGCACCCTGAGAATCATCTCAGCGGGCAATGAAACTCTTCCTTTTGACATGACTCATTAGATGCAAAAGATTAACAATATAATGAACATCAATCAAATAAGCAAAACAGTCCTCTGACAGTAGTATAACGTAGTTTATAAACCGGAAATAAAGAGAGGTAGGGCCGTAGCAAATTGTTATGCAGCAAACCTGTAAACTTCAGCATGCGAGTTTGTGTCTCTCTTAATGTAAACGAAACTGACATTGTGGTGGTGAAGAAAACGAAAAGTGACATCATGAGTACGCCACACTTCGTCACAAGGTAATCTACAAGAATAGAGAGCAAGCCACAGTATCAAATTGATGCTCATTAGACTTATCATACAAAGAATGAAAGTTGCAAACTGCACTTATAACTGCCCAGGATAAGCAGTTTTAATAATTTTAAGGAAATAGTGTCTTATTCTGCCTTGTTTCTAAATTCCAGGGTTCAAATCAAATAAATGTTCCTAGGTAGGCATGTAAAATCAATTAAGCAAATTGTTATTAGAAAAATGAAACAAAAATGGATGTTATATACTTATATGAACATATCATTCTCGTACATATAAAAGAAATGCACCATTCAAGAATGACTGACCTCCCAATGTTGCAGAACTTTCAGGTTTCTCATGAGCATATGTAAGATTGTAAAACTCCTTCGTTTGGTGATTATAAAGATAACCTGTATGCAAGTTTCAATAACTGTGATTATAGTATAAAATGAACAATATTTGACCTATAATTTTTCATAAGGAACTACTTAATACCTTGACCAGGAGAACTCAACAAACTGTTGATCAGAATAGTATCATACCCGACAAGCCTGTTGATAAGAAGTTGCTGCCACCTGAAAGAATTAAGTCCATTACTTGGAAAGGTTACTAGTGTCATGATTCTATAGAATCACAGATTCTCTATTGTTTACATCTTGAACTCAATTATTTTCAAGAGAGTAGGAATTGTCTAGAGGACAAGATCAACTCCCATGCGGTGACTTTTTACATCATTGGTCCTCATATCAAGGTGAAATTCGCGATTGAGAAGTCAAACATAAAAATAAAGTGTTTCGTATTCTGTAGAAGTTGAACTTAGTGAAACTCAGAGGAATCCCAGCTAAACTTCAAGGTGAATTTTCAAACATCTAATATGATTCCCTTTAAACACAAAATGATTTGGTGCAAGATGGAGAGTTGGTCATATCAATTCCGTACAAAAATCTGTTTACATCGCGTAAATCTATAAGCTATAAATAATTTATCTATAAGCTATACATCATTTATTTATTTATACAAAATTCTTTATACCTTAGTGTGGGGAAGAGTGAAGCAAATCTCTAAAAACATTTATTTATTTATTTAATTATAAAAGCATCCTTTTTTACGATTTTATTACACATGCGTAAGGCATGAAGATAATAACCTGTTTCCAAAGCATGGGTGTCGAGCTGAGATGCTTATGTTGATTGTATAAATGTTATGTTGTAACCTAGCTTCTTCCGATAGTAAGAAATAGCCCTGGAAAAAAACATATACCAAAATACATCAAACAATAACAAGGCCAGAACATCATGCAACATTAATCTAGTAGGTCCTGAGGAGAAAATGCATGGACAGTCTTGGGAGAAAGATGAAACACATTAAGAGCATCACCTTCTCCAATGTGAATAAGAAAGTTGGTTCAAAGGTGTTGCTTCTTCTCTCGAGCCAATGCACTGTAATATCCATATAACAAATTCAGCATTTCATTTTTTCCATGTGTATGCACTTGCCCAATCCGTTCATGCAACATAACCATAAGGTCCATAACAATGCAAATAAGAATGTTACCAGCATATGAGTTAAGCTTGTGCAAGTGAAGTGTTTTCAGAAGCTGCGGAATATCAATTCTCAAATGTATACCAGCTATATCCTGTATACCAAGAGTTCAGCATTGTTCAACAAAAGGAGTGAGTAACAACTAACAACAACATACATATAGCATGAAATTTAGTCACATGAGTCAAAACAAATTATATTAACCAAGAGTAAGCTCTGAGAGTTGTGTTTTATGCCATTCCAGCTACTTACCATTACCAGGCCTTAGACAACTTATCATGACCGCACCTTAAACAAATTATCATTTTCAGGCCTCAATCCCGATGCCAGTTTAACAAAAACAAACATTAAACATTTTAAATAATCTACTGCAACTAGGCAATTAGGCATGAAACATGGATCGTCGACACAAATAGAAGAATCCTTATTTGGTGCTAAATATGACTTGTTTAGTCCTAAAAAGAAATCAAAGTAGCTAATATTCCATATTGTAGGAGTGAATGAGTCCTATTTTCATAAAGAAAAAGAATGATGGTCCTATTTGAAAAAATGTGTTTATGATATAATACTTCATATAAAAGCAGATATTGAAAAGTAAACAATGACATACAATACATACTGATTCATTTTACAAGATATCTAATTTGATAATTTGTGAAATTTCAATAATATTAGTTTCAGAAAGACTCTTTCTCTGAAACTCAACTGTTAGCACTGTACTTTTACGAGTTTCCACACAGAAGATTGAGTTGAAATAAATGCACTTCGCTTAGTTACAATCAACTACTTACCCATAAACCTCCCAAAACACGCTTAGCGAATCTCCAAAGGACAGTCAACCGCCTTTGCCACTTCCGGCCCAGCTTAAATACAGCTGCTTTGAGTGATTCCTTTGAAGATATAAGAAGCCGGCTAAGTGAACCATCTTTATTAGTTTTAAGAGCAGCATTATCACCAGCAGACTTGATGCTATTACCGCTGGTAGAAGTTTCAGGTTGGGATTCCAGAAGGTCATAGTCAGCCTTCCAAAAATTTGGAGCAGGTTTACCCCTCCACGCTCCAGTAGTAATCCAGTTCAACCATAACTTTGCTGCAAGGATTACCGAGCCATCTTCTACAACATGTATGACTTTAATAATTTCAGTATTACTTTTGTCGCCAAGGGCATTAACTTCATAATACTCAGTCTCATTCTGGAGCCACAAACCAGAACTGGTAATCTGCAGCAAGAAACAGCATATGGTAACTTCTAATTATCAATCCATTTAACCAACATATTACATCAGACCATGCAAAGCATAAGCTAAAACAACAACCTTGATTTGAATTATTTGTGCATTTGATATGTTCACTTTTGACAGCTCACTCGAACAACCAGGCTGCAAATCAATAAAATCCGCAATTTAAAACTCCAGAACAACTGTAAGTATCAAGCCACTATGAATGAATTCTACTATAATAAGAGCAGAAACATCACCAAAGACTACATTTCCGCGATCCACTATTTCTACATCTATAGAAGGGAATAAAATTAATTCTAGAAAGTCATCGGTAAGCAAAAAGCAGGACTAACAGCACCTGCTGGACATAGTTGGCGTGCATAACAACGAGAATACAGAAGAGAACGACGGCGATGAAGAGGTAGAGATACTCAAGCGTGGCTCGAATCCTTGGACTCAGCATCTGAGAGAACCGCTCCTGTACCCGTATAAACGTCTGTTCCGGATCCATCGATTATACTCCTATATATACACACAGATAAATGCGTACATACAGGTGCCTTAGTTTCCTGTTTTACGTATCTTTGAGCATCGAGACGACCGTATATGCTCAAAGTCAAGCGTGCAAATTCACGAAACAAAAAACCACGGCGTTGTTAAACATCGGCTTCTTCAGAGAAATCTAAATACGGACTATACGTTCGTCTGCTTCGCTGATCGGAAAGCTTACTAGGGGTTTGGTTAGTGCTTAGTTTGAAGCTGAGAGTTTTCTTCCCCAAAGTTCGAAGATGGAAGCTGAAAGTAGGATAACCGCGACTTCGTACAAATGGGGCCCGTTGTATCCATTTTCTCGATAAATTTCAACCCCTGCGATTTAGTATATTATTCTTGGACCCGATATTTTATTTCGGATTCTGGTGCTACGTCCATTGTGAAATTAGTTACTTTTAAATCCTCCGACCTTGTCACTTACTACCTCGTCCCCTAAGTTTGGGGCAAGAGAAGGTGACATGGTTATTAATAAAAGTGGGTTTATATGGTTGATACTAAATTGGTAAAGTAAGAATAAAGCAAGAATGATTTAGAACCACACAAATTTTATCAAATAAAGTATGAGACAATTTTAGTGGGACGAACCGAAAAGGTAAAATGAGACAATCATAGCGGGACGGAGGGAGTAGTTGGTAATGGATCTGAGAAAGGGTATTCTGGTGCTACTGCACAGTTATATTCAAGAATTCATTTGAATGTCTTCCCGATTGAATTTTTATTTGAAATTTGGTATGACTGAACTAGACTTAATGAATAAGATGCTCAACAAATTTCATCAAAAAATTCCACCGGGAACCGCCCCAAATGGTGACGGCCGGATAGAACCTCTTATATAAGGACTTATTTGACCCCTTTTATGCAATTTCGAGGACCAAACTGACCCTTTACTCAGGCATATTTGGAGTTTGTGGTAGTGGCTAGTGAGTGGGTGGTGTGGTTCGGTTGGCAGCGGCTAGTGAATGTGTACATTTTGACATATTTTGTGCAAGCACAAATATCTACAGATAATTCATATAAAACGTGTAGCAACGTATATCAACATAGAGAAACAACTTGTATCAAAAGTATACACAAAAAGGTGCAGGCCAAACATTTTTTTTGACAGTTATACTGTTTCCATGTTGAGAGAGCTTCTGGACTCAATCCCATAAAATGTCTTGAAACTTTCTACCATATTGGTGTATTAAAAACTGTGTGTCTTGAAACTTTGGAGAATAGTTCACTACGTAGTAGTTCATAGACTCCTATATCATGTGAGCACAAGCACTGATACCTAAATCATAAAAAATGAAGCGCATTTGATGTTTAATACAGTAACTATTTATGAGATTCTTTTCTATAATGTGTTGAATTGAATTTAGTTAATGCGTAGTACTACGTTCTATATATCATTTCGTTCCAAGATTTGGTGTTTGTCTAAATTTGGTGTTTGAAATTTAGACCTACTCTCAGCTTCGAACTCAGCACAAATTAGTAAACTCACATAAGCGTCAAACCAATTAGTCGGAGCGCCTAGAATAAAATCGGGGCACCCAAGTACCGCTTAATGCCTAAGCGGGAACTAGTCGGACGTCTAGAATGGTTTTTAGAATAGTGGTTTTGACAGGTCAACTTGTGTTCTTCTTTAATCATTACATGCTAATAGTAAATGTTTTTTGTACATGAATAAACCAACGAGAAATATGACTAAAATGTTCTAAAAATTACTAAAGCTATGTTTGGCACAACGAGCTAAAACTGAAGGCTAATGTCTGAATTAGAGAATGTTGTTTGGAATAAAAAAACTATTGTCTGGAACTGAAGTTTGAAGTGCTGGATCTGAATTGTCAACTGAATAGAGATAACTCATTTAGCAAAAAGAGCTGAAAATGCTCGGATAATATGAAATTACGTTGATGGACATATGATTTATTAATTAATAGGATAAAATATTTTTTATTTAGTGGTTTATATATTTTATTAAAAATTAAGATTGTGGTAAGATTTCTTATATGTATTTATATACGTCGTAAAGTTCGTCCCATACACCCATACTTTTTCCTTTTGTAAAATAGTGTCGTATCATTTAAATAAACTTTAAGAAAATTTTATGCTTAGATAGGTAACAAAGAAATTTTTAATTTAATTTAAATGTATTTGCACCCTAAAAAGGGAAAAATTTCTAAGCTGAAACTCAAACCCGATTAAATTCCATGATCGTACATTAATTGAAACAAAAAGATACAAATTCTTGCAAAAAGAAAAATTGGTAGCAGACTCTTAGAGTGACAGCAGCAGCAAATATTGCTGCATCGATTTGCGAAATACGCCCAAGGATAGAATTGGTATAGAAGGTCTACTATGCGACCGGCTGAAAGAAACGTTAGGTTGAGCAACGTTTCATTTCAGTCGGGTTTTTTCAGTTTAAGCTCACTTAAGCTAATTGTCCAAGCAGATCCACTTTTAAAATAATTAGCTGGATTTATAGAATTTCAGCCCTTTTTGAGCTGAAGTGACATGACAAACATAGCCTAAATGTACTTGTCTCAGTGACACCCCTATTATTCTTATATCGTGTGACGTTCATTCCTATTAGTGACTTAGTATTGTCGTTCTCACGGAAGCATCACATTCCTATTAGCACAATGATCATGTATATCAAGTTATCAACATTGACAAGCTAGTGACACTAATGTTGATCCTCTACCTTACAGTAGAATATCTCGCACAAATGTAGGGTAAGATGAAAAGTGAAGGGCCTCGAGAGTAGTCCTCGACTCGGGCCGGGTGGCCCAACCCAGAACCGGCCCGGGACCGGTACTGTGCTGAATCGTCCCGGCCCGGTGGCCCGGCCAGTGACCGGTTCGGGTAGGCCCAGCCCGGAGGGTTCCCGGTGCGGGCTCGGGTCACCCAAAAGCCGAACCGGCCCGGCCAGTTCGGGCCCGGTTCCGAGGCTCGCTATCGCCAATGCTTTCATACAAAAAAAATAGTGATTGCAACAACACCTTCATAGTCATCCAAAGTCTTGCTTATAGCAAAATTATACTCGCATTACCCATTATCAAAAACAAAAACTCTATATTAAGAACATATTCATCCATGCAACCATAACCACCACCTAGGCCTCAATTAAATAAAAAATGTCAGAGTTTAATTCCTGAAATGCAATTTGAACTTAGCAAACCCAACCCACAATGAGCCTTATTGAAATCTAAGTGTCTGCCAGTGTTGAACAACTGCATACAACAACCATTCTATAATAAATACACTCGGTATAAATTTCTGTGAGCAAAACAGAGGATGCTAAGCCTAAACCATTGTTGTCACAGGTTTCCTTATTGATTGAAGTGTACAGCAATATGCGACACATAATAAATATATACAGGTATTGATCCGTCATTTGTCAAGCAGTATCACTGAGTGAATTTGAACGAAGAATAGGAGAGGGAGCCATTGCTCCAGCTCTGGTGAATAAGTTCCGCCCTTGGCTTCCCCCCTGCGGCTCCAATCGCAACGTGTAATGGGTAGAAGTGTTCAGGCCACGGGTGTGCAAGCTTTGCATGTGGCGCTTTCTCATCATAGTGGTTAATATCTTCGTACCTGCACAAGATGTGAAGACATAAGAAATGTTAAAACAAATCAATCAGAGGTTTGGCCGGGAAGGGAATGGAGCATGTAGCACAAAACTGTCACAAGGTGGACTCTAGCACATACCCTCCTCGGTCTGACCCTCACCTAGGGTTTTCATAGCATGTTTGGTATACTTTTGCTGTGAAATGCTGGAGGATTTCTCTCAATGCAAAAAGAGGGGGTGGGGGAGCTTTCAATGCAAGAGGCAAAGGAACTCTGCGGGTCTGGGTTGCAATGATTTAGTGGTTGATGTTAAATTACTCAAAAATAGAGTCGCGTTTGGAATTGAGTTAAGTAACCAAAATCACATAACTCCGGCAAACACAGTTAAATTTTAAGGAGCTCCTGTGAACTGTGGACACACAGAGTGTGTCATGTAGGTCCCTTTTTAGCTTAATGAGGGATACACATTAGTTTATCATCACATCTGGTAATGTCGGCACAATGACAGCACCATTGTTCATAATTGCACAATGCAATTACGACATGAGGCGTGCCTCGCGCAATTCTGTAGAATGGCGCAAGATTGCATGGCTTGAGGGGTGACGAAGTTCTTCTGACCTTTTGGAGAAAACTAATGAAATTTCAAAAAAAAAAAAATGGGGGGAAAACTAAAGCATTTTGAGATATTAGGGAAGTATCACAAAGCATAACTGAAATATTTAATACTCTTATTATCCTTCAGAAATAAAACATACAAAAGGCGCCATATTCTTCTCAAATTTTCCGCTCTCACTATTGTCTTCAAAATATCGGCAAATATTTCCATAAATTCAAAATGGTGATATGGACTCCTTAGAATAACTCTGATATGATGGATTGTGATCCCTGTAATTTCAGGAATTGGGAACCTAGGGAATTTCCTAACTCTGAGGTTTTTCAATTCCACACAAAAGTGGGACTGAAAAATAAGATATTCCAGATGGCCATAGTCAAAACTCAAAAGTAGGGACTTTTGGAATATCCCCATAGCACTACTCATATCTGAATATCATTGATCTTGTGGATAATACTCCTAATAAACATCACAGATAGAAAACTACTCGCATGAAATGGCCTCCAGTTCAACTTCAGAGGCATGTGTGCAAATAAACAAAACATAGACCAACATATTAAATAAATGGTCTAAAAAGAGTGCAATGGTAAATAGGAAACTTGGCAAACACATTTTACTTATTTCTTATACAAAATTTTCTACTTTTAGTTTCCTTACCCAAAGTCATTCCCACTTTTAGTCATTGACATTCAGTGATTTTACTTTGCTCCATAATTACACCAATTTTGTCACTTTTGGTCTTTCTGGTCACTTCTCCAACCAAATTCAACCAGAAAGTGGGAAAAAATTAGCTTGGTAATTGGTCCCGAAGGACCAAATGTGACATGAAAATATTGAATCCACAATTGTGTGCGAAAAGTGAAAAAATGACAATTGGGGCTAAAAGTGGAAATGACTTGATGGTTGTGGGACCAAAATGGAAAGTTCTCTTTTTACACCACCAAAAAGAAGTTTCAATATTAAGACAAATTAATATCACAGATGACTTACCTTCCATTGAGAAGGGAAACTTTGAGCCAGTCATCAAATTCCTTAGCCCAAGGAAGAGGAGGTCCTTCACTCCTGAGAGTCCGCAAGTTATGAGTGGCAGATCCAGACCCAATTATGAGAACACCTTCTTCCTTAAGAGGAGCCAATGCTTTGCCCATATTGTAATGGTGTGTTCCATTCATGTTTGGCTGGACAGAAAGCTGGCACACTGGGATATCAGCATCTGGATACATGAGCATAAGAGGAACCCATGCCCCATGATCCAAACCACGTCTGGTGTCTTTTTCCACTTTCTTGAAACCAGAAGAGAGAAGTAACTCAGCTGTCCTTTTTGCTAACTCTGGAGCTCCTGGCGCTGGATACTTGAGCTGCCATTAATCAAATATGTAGGTACAAGGTGACTGGTGATTAGTGAAGTCAATAACGCAATAGCGGCATAGCGGCACAGTGGCAGGGATAGGCTACTAGATTGCCTATAGCGAAGAGGCATATATTTATCATTATTGAGACTTCGAGTAATATGTTTATCATTTATTGGATTTGATATGTGTGTGGCATGTAATTACATGCATAGATATAATTATGTATTATGCATATACATAGTCAGAATAGCTGTCGTCCCACTATCCACTTTACGCCTTTACCCCTATAGCATTTTCAGCGTTGGCCACCACGCAAAGCTATCCAGGATCGACAACACTAAAGATGGTGTATATATTTTGTACCCTATAAAATCAATTATGACTTTGTGAGTACACCCCAATACTCCACTATTGATACAAATAAGGATTTCTTCATCGTCTATCTCATATATTTTTCAAACACAATTATTACTTTAATAGGTCATATGGCATCCTTATAGAAAGAGTAATACAAAGCCTTAATATGTTGGTTGGTATTTTCTATTTTTCGGATGTAGTATCACTTGATATAAATTGTCAGTTCGTGCCGTCTTTTAGGGAGTTACCTAATTTAACAATACATAAGAATCTGATCTGATGAAAGTTGTCAGCTGGGATGGGTTGGTGTAGGCAAAATAACTCCTTCAGATTATGTATATTTATATTTACATATAATAGAGAGGTGAGTTAGGCTCAATTTTTATGCAGTTAGCACTTAGCATCATGACAGGTAAGGCCTAAGCTTATTGATTTGGTAGAGGTCAGATGTCTAGTTAGGCTCAACAACTTTACAGTTTCACGCAAAGGACGCTGCAGAAGGCATCACGGTTCATGATAACTGACGCAAAGATGATCCAGCTTCAGGGATTAATTAAGTCTACGCTTTGTTATCAAATGACTGCTATGAAACCAAGGAGTCGTCCCCAAATCATGACCGCTTTAAAACTGTCCTTATTAGACAAACTACAGGACGCTGTTATCACTAAATCCCAACTACCTAAATGAACACACTACACACACATTTAGGTAAGGCGGATGGCTAACCTGATACATCTGCTTGGGGAAGCCGTAGAAGTCGTGGATGGTTTCGTGGCGGCCGCTAATGGAGTTGATGGTAGGTACGGAGGTCTCCCAGTGGGCGGAGATGACTAGGATTGCGGTGGGCTTCTCCGAGAAGATTTTCTCCCGGAAAGATTGGAGAAAACGGCGGGCCGGTAGGGATTCGTCGATGGAGAGAGTCGGCGAGCCATGAGAAATGAAGAACGTCTCTTTCAAAGGCATAACACCGGCCATTCGTTAAACAAACGTCTCCGCAATTCGATTCGATTCTGGTTTTCAGCGCTTCCGATCCTTCTGCGTCTGTCTTGTCTTGCTTAAATAAATACGAGTGCATTGAAGCAGATGATTCAAAGTCATAGTTTGACTCGGTGCTGGCTGGAAAATTAGAGATTAGTCTATGCTACTTCAAATATGGATTCTTCTACGACGTGTTCTTAAAGCGTAATTAACGTGCCCCATTTTTAAGCTTTGTAAGACAAATTATCTACTCAAAGAAATGTGATTTAACTACGGATTAGGTTGTATTTTTTTTATCATCAAAACATGCATCTATTCATATCAAAAGATTCATCAGGATCATTACATCAAGCAAATGGAAAATAAAACAGACACCAACTGAAACTCCAACAACTACGACTGTAATCCTATGGTGAGACTTTGAGACGGATTACGTAGTATTTAATATGGTAAGCAATGTTTTTTAAATGTTATCTCTCACGGAGTATATTTTTACTTTTACGAATTCATCCTGTTTCTTCTTATCTTTTGAATGTTATGTTTGTAAAATGATAAATTTACACTTTTGAAACTTTCAAGTCCAATTCAAATTCGAATTCAAATATATCACACATTAACAGTGAAGGAATAATGAAATTAGTTAAATCATTTACCAAATGAAAGTTCACTCTTTTATTTATTATGGAGATAAATCTTACACTTGTAGATCTATTTTAAGTCTTAACTCCCAATATAGATATAGTACTTGTTACGTACATTTATTCATTTAATTATTGTTTTTACAAGAATATTACTAAAATAGAATTTATTCACATAAATATGACTATTCATTACTACAACGTAGTGTTGTGGTAATTTAAATTCAAAACTTGAACATGAATTACTATGATTTTATTACTACTCTAGTAACTAGTAATATTTTTGTAAACCATCTTTATTTTGATCATATTTATGTAATTATTTCTTATATTTATCCGTTATTTCATTGCGTTAATAGTACATGTTTCAAAATGTTGAATCCTCAACCCTAAGTACTCCTACCCTGACAAGGTAATAGACCTACCCGTGCATATCAGTTGTTCGGCTCATCACACAAGAACCGTAAAATTCCAGACTACAGTTGCGAGTTTCGATCATTGATTAATAATCTAACTTTTTTCATAACTCAATCAACTAAGCTACCTGAACGGATATTGTGTTAATAGTATAAATGCATGGATAGGTGAATGCCAATTAATTTGTGCTATACCCTTTATCCTCAAGCTATATTTTCTTCTTCTTAACTTAGAAATGTTACTCCGTAAAATCTTGTTGTATAATATACACAAACACTTAAAACAAAACTTAATGAACTTAAACTTAAAAAATAATTAAAGTTCATTTCTTAAATGTTAAGGGATCAACTAATGGTGATGCATCATAGTGTGATTACCTAATTAAACAATCATTTGATTACACAACTGGAAAAACGGTTAAACATGTAAGACTATCATAAAAATTGTTTTTATAAAAGTAAGACAAGTTTTGAAAACTGAAGTATAAAATTGACATAAATTGTGATATATTAAAGGGTTGAACTGAAATGATAAAATTAGTAACAATTTAAATCGACTCATTAATTTTGGATTCAGTTAAGTTGAGCTTTTCTTCTAAAAACCATATATATAGTCTTTAGAATATATGGTTTTTAGAAGAAAAGCTTTTCTTCTAAGTTCTAACCATCATCCGTTCATTAATAATAACCATATTATTATATGGTTTTAAATCATCTTCCTTCACAACAACTTCAAATCATCCTTTTTCTATACATAGTATATCTTAAAAATATTTCCTCTTCTTTCTCTCTTCATTCCTCAACCCCAAATCATCAGTCCATCTTCAACCACACCGTCTTATTCAAGATTAACTTGAGATACTCTAGTTAACCATTATATTGCGAAGCCTCCCACTCATCGAGTGTAAAAAGTTGTTTGTTTTATGATCTTACGTGTAGATTCATTATACAAATTTTATGATAACCATTTATGTGAAATTAAAGAGAACGTATGTCAGTCTGACTCATGAATGCAAATATGCAATACATATAAAATTTAATATTTAAATCCATCTCCGCAGTCATTCAATCAATAATATTTCATTCAACCGTGAAAGTAATTGAAGTTCAAATTTTGTTCAATAAAGTAGGAATAAAGATAATGTGATATGTCAAAATACAAGTACTATGTTTTCCCTTTCAATATGATTATATGAATGCTTATAATCATATACATTAAAATGTAGTCAATTATGGCATTAATATTGTCTTATTAACAATTGTTAATATCAAAATATTGAAATATGATACCAAGATAACAATTTACTCCTATTTAAATAAAAGAAACATCTATTTATAAATTTCACGTTGTGTTTCCCGAACCTTTTTTTATTTACATGATGCCATGATGGTATGCTTTTTTTACATGATTATGTGCGCACAATAGAAAATGTCCTTGTTCTTCAAGAAAATACATGAATATTGAGCCCTTGATGATCATTTTCTATTAATGTAAATTTCAATATTATTAATATTTTATAATGTTTATTAATACGTACGGAGTAATTAAATATAATTACAGTCAAAATTATGCATAGGCAAACGTGAAAGTCAAATTATTGCAACTTTTAAAGAACGGATGATGGTATTATTCATTTATATTTATATAATACATATTCATTTTTTATATGTTTTGAGCAAATAGCCAATTACCAAGCATAAAGTTAATGATTTTATCTATTTTGGCCTTTTGGGTGTTTCTGGAAAATACATACCAAAAATTGGCCAGACATAATAACATACACATGGTGACATGGATTGGAACTTGGAAGGAAAATAGATGGGCAAGCGCCAGAGGCAAAGAAGTGTATATTATGTATAAAAATTAAATATATACTAGCTATTACAAAAGAAGGGGAAATGAAGTACAGGGGGGGTGAGGGGAAGACCATAAATGCAATTAGTCCAGCGGCTCAACTGAGTAAAGGGATTTGCTCAAGACTTTTAAGTAGCAGCTGCAGTGGCGGAGGCCTCCATGGAATCATCTAAGGCTTTAAGCAGCCTAAATAATGTAGCGGCTTCCCTAATCCTTGAGAACTCGATACAAAACGCTTGCACTTCAATAAACAGATCTTGAACTGCAATATTCATTATTATAATAATAGAAAACAGGTAAGTTCAGCAGAGAGGCAAATAAAACATGTATCCTCATTAGTTTGTACAAACTAATAATAATACTTATAACTTTTACAACAACAATGGTAATTATGGTGGAGCCGAAGGGCTTTTCACACCATGTGTGTACTTACCGTCAATTATTTTATTCCGGATCAAGCTCTGCAGGAAGACGCAAACGAGCCTTACCAATCTGTTCTGCATATACTTATCCTGAAAATTATAAGGAAATATAAATAAATTTTGAATAACAAAATGTTAAGGAATTAATCTTATACCACAGCAACTATACTAAGGTAAGAAGCAGAGCTCTTCAAAGGGACCTTGATATTCTCACAGGAAGATATGCAGTTGGTAATATACATATGTATAAATTCAGTTGGCAAATCAACTGCTTGTGTGAGTCGGTTAACTACTTCCATTGAATGAAGACTCATTTCCATATTAACAAGAACTGTAAAGTATCTGCAACCATATAATCAGAAGTTCATCAAATTGAGAGACATAACCGCAAATCAAGACTCCGAAAGAATATTATGAAAAATGGAAGAGGCGAAGAGCACTAATGAATAGAATGTGAACAAATGGGCATACTCAGCAATTTCTGGTGAATTCACTAGCTTGGTAAGAACTTCTACTGCAATAAGAGGATTGTTCTCAACAAGCTCCTGGAAGTAAAATAAATGAATTTGAACCCACACAAAACACCAATTACTGTTAATCTTTAGAAATTTCAGTATCTACGGTACTTACTGGAAGTTTCCTCGGTGTTAGACCACAATGGTATACTAGCTTTGGGTCATTCGCCAACTCCGTTACAACTTGCTGCAGGAGATGTTAGGATAAAAGATTAGAGGAGCAAAAGCAATGCAGTCTTTTGAGTTCACCATTACTATTTAGAAGAATGATTTTTCATACTAGCAAAAAACCAAATGAAGCAGTCTTTTGTCCTACTACTATTAGAACCATGGGTGGTTATTAAGGAAGGCCTATTTAAAAAAAAGGCCTATTTTTAGCTTTATGTATAGATGAAGTCCAGTGTTTTCAATCCCAGATAGCATAGTGTAGCGGCCAATACTGAAAGCGCTATAGCAGTATTGCTGATAGGACGATAGCGGGATGACCGATATTTGGACAATAGTTGTACAAAATACATAATATATGTATGGATATAATTACATTCCATGCACATATCAAATTCAAGAAATGATACCACAAATATATTACTCAATCTCAAACGTCATGGAATTTATACTTAGAGGGGCACTAGTGTCTTAAACAAAATAAACGAATAATTTAAGTAACTTATCTCTAAACATTAAAAATTACTCCGTACAAATTAAGCTCCTGAGAATTCTTGATAAATTAGCCATCTCAAGATCTCATTATAAGAGAATCAAGATAGTTGGGATGCCTTGGACTACCATAACATGGAGATACACGGTGTACATTATATTTGATCTTGGTTTCTATTTTGAGCTCTTTTAGTTGGGTTATGTTGTCCCTCACATGTTTTGGAGGGTGTGGTGAAGTTATATTTACTCTAAAAACATCAGAAAGTAAAAATACTCCCAAATTCCCTCAAAACTAGCACTGAAGTAGCCCCGTAAATTATATCAGCGCTATAGCGACCGCTACAGCCGCTGCTATTCTTCCTTCTATAGCGCCTGCTACTGGCCCTATTGTCATCCACTCCACTTTAGGAAATCTGATAGGACCTACCCTCCACTCCGCTACTCAGCTGCGCTATTAGTTTCACTGAGATGAACTTTCTAAAACAATGTTCTAACATCACCAACATAGAAGATGAATTAAAAAAATTTCAGCCTATATAAAGTTATGACATGGCTGTAAAGAAATACTTTTTCCTCTGGGTAGTCAAACAGCTATCAGTCCTGAATATCAGTAAACATGCACAAATTGCACACTG